TTCATGAGCTGCCAAGTGATCATCTATTTCGGTAAAAGACTCGAACGGTTGTACTTAGCTTTCACATGATCCATAGTGGAAATACAATACTCTTGTATATTAAAGTACAATTCGACCATTCATTTTAAGTATCAGCGATAGTGTAATACTTCCTCTACTTGATCGATCTCAAATGAATGCATCAAAATGAATCAAACGTTCAAGTTGATTTTAAGCTGAAGATAAGCTAAGTAAGTCGAATATTTTGTAAAATTTATAGTTTTTGGAAAATAAAATTTTTAATTATTTGTAACATAAGCTAGTGTAATTAAAAACACATCATTTAATATATATATATTGGTGTTCTCGTAGATTTTAAAAGGTATTTATATTATTGGCATTTTTTTATTACAAAATTAGTATTTCTGAGATTAAAGTATATTTTAGTTAGAATTTCAGGAAAATTGGTTATTACTAGCTACACATCTATGATCTACTATTTAAATCGAATATTAACTATTGTGGTTATTATTATTATTAAAAGAAGGAATCGTGCACTGCGACCTAACAGATCTATTGTGCCCCTTAGTCGGATGACAGTGTTTCTCCAAGTCCGATTTCTTTAATGAAAGAGGGTATAGACCTATCTTTCCTAGTCTTGAATCCTTATGATCCATGAAATTGTGGTTAATTGTGGTTAATTATTTAAGAAATTTCTAAAATGTAAAATGGTTTTTTTATAAACTCAAAGTTAATAATATTTTATTATATTATCTATTTTGAGTTTTTCTAAACTTGATTTTAACAGATTTAATTAAACTACTGCATAGTGGTGGAAAAATTAATATTATTTTAAAAAAATCCTAAATTATATTTAAATACTTGTATGCAAAAAAATTTTTTTAATTATCCTAATGATTTTTTTATTACACAGGATTCTTTAGGCGGTAATACAAAAACTCTTATGATTGCATGTATTTCACCAGCAGATTATAACTATATCGAAACAATTTCAACACTTCGTTATGCAGCTCGTGCAAAAAATATTTCTAACAAGCCCAAAATTAATGAGGACCCTAAAGACGCAAAACTACGAGAATATCAAGATGAAATAATTAAATTAAAAAAACTTTTAAATGACACTAATATAAAACTCTCATTGCAACACATTCCTGCTGAAAATGACTCAACACTAAAACAGGAAAAAGAAATGGAAATGAAATTTGAATCATCGCAACTGGAACAAACAAGCCAAGAAAAACATGTTCATGACATTGAGCATTTGCGCAATCATTATGAAGAAAAAATAAAAAACCTCACATCAAATAAGTTAGGGCAAGAGGACGTATATTTAAATGAGATTCCCTTAAACGATAATGTCGCGTCAACGGACATAATTCAGTTAGAAGCTAAACAGCGTATAGAAGCTATAAAGCAAAAATTAATAGGAGGAGAATGTGCAGATGACATTCAATTAAAGGAACGAAGACAAAGAAAAAAAATCGATGCCCAGAGAAGATTAAGTGCACTAGCTCATGCTCTCAGTCGCGTCGAGCAAACCGAAGACCGCGATTTGTTGCAAGGACACTACACAAACATTCAACAGGAGATCACTGAAAAAAATGAGTATCTTAGATTGTACAGGCAGAAAATTAAAACACTTGAACGAGAAATATCTGATTTGCAAGCTGAATTTCAGTTAGACCGAGCTGATTACTTAGAATCAATCAGAAGACTAGACAGAAACTTGAAATTTTATCAGCAATTGATGGATAAGGCGATACCCATTCTTAGAAAAGATGGAAAATACTGGTTAGTTTTAATGTTCTAAAATGTATATTTTTTTAATTCTGTTTTTACTATTATAAAATGCAACAGATTTATGCAACAGTCGTTTTCTGATTCCATGGTTATCATGACTGAATCGAAATGAGGACTATACCTCATAACATGACGACATAATAAATTCCTCCAATTTTTATTTAATTTTTCTTACTTTTTCATTACTTCTTTTTGCCTATTCCTTTTATTGCTACTTGATAGGTCAATTGTCAATTTTATGTAAGAAAGACACATCTATAAACATGTAAAAAAGTATAACATATCATGTTCATAAAAGCTATTATACGAGGTACTCATTGAATTAAATACATCTTTTTTGAGTGAATTCAATGAGGTGTCCAAAGAGCTATTGAAAATTTCATCTCTTTTTTTCTGGATAAGATAGTACTGACATCGCGACTGACTGCGGGGTTGTTTCTTCGTATTCGATGATACCCAATCAACTGTTTTGCAGCTGTAGGTATAGAACGTGAGATATGTTAGGGTAACAGCCATATTGTCTAATGTATGTCGCAATGCTGAAATTTGGTATTACCAACTACTTTATTTCCAGTCGCAGCGAGAACAATGATCCTTCATCCATTATCAAAAACTTTTGTATGAAGGCTGCATTTTCTGACCATCGGACCAAAGATAACTACTTTACCCACTTTTGCGTTGAAGATATCAATTTTAATGCAATGATGTTGTCCGCATTCATATTTTTTTTTAAACTGTACATAGAGAGCCTCCATTTCTCCTGTGGTGTCCTTATCTAAGGTTTTCTTATCATGTTCATTAGGCTGGTGTTTTATATGAAGGGTTCTAGGTTCGATGCATAACTCGGTGGATACAAAGCTACAAAGAAGGTTTCGCGGCATACATTAATTTAATACGTACGGATTGTACATATCAAGAGAAAGCTATATTAGGTGAAGGTTGTGTGTCAATTTGGAGAAAACTGTGACAGGGATAATGCTCGAATTCACCAAAATAAGTGCAATTAGACACATTACCTTCTATAATGCTCATATACCGCATAAATAGCTTAATTATTAAGCTACAATTAATAAAATCATCAATATACAGAAATTATATTTTATACTTATGTATTTATTTCATTGCTGGTTTCTTCTTATTTATTTACATATAACTTGCACAGAAAATAAAAATAATACAAAATATGTGGCAAGTTCTAATACAAAAGTAAATGCATGAACGATCGTAACGGATATATGTATATGCATATATGTATATGAATTCAAAAAATTATTAAAATATTTGATATTGGTTTCTATGTCAATAAAATATTAAATAAAATGATAATTATTTGAACATACATATTTTATAAAATCACACATTACTTGCTAATCTTTACTAAGCTTCCAATTTATACAGGGACGCTGATGAAATTATTCGAAACTCATTTTGGAATGACGATCTAAAAATATGGAAACTTCCAGAATCATCTATGTGTAGTTTCAAACTTCCATATGCGGCGAATTCTGCTGCAAATGTTTCGCGTAAATCAGTAATTCTTAGCTCATCATCTCAGCATGAAGAAATAATTGATGAAAATCGGAATAATCAAAGCAAAAGTGTACAGGATACAGATGAAACTACAAACGTAAATAAAACGGATATTTGTTTTTTAATTAAGAATAATAATCAAAAAACTTTTTTTATTTATTTAGACTAGTTATATCGATAATGAGAATATATTAAGAAATTACTTTCGATCACACCGTCAGAGAAAATCAGCTGTAATAAGTAACAGAAAAACTGCTGACTGCTGGAAAGGTTTGATATAAATAAATTTTAGTGGTTTTTACAAATAAATGCTAACGAAAAAGTTATATCGATATGTATATAATTTCATAATTTTCATCAGAATAATTCTACATTGTTAGTACCTCAGTTGTGAAATTGAAACCATAAATAGTTAATTAAATCAAGTGTACCTATTCAGAATTCCTGGTAGCTGAATTAAAAAAGTAAACTTCAAAGTAAGGTAAACCCGATCTCTGAACCGCTCAACTGTTCGACGTTATTGTTTGATTGACGTAGTGATGCTGGATCCTTTTCTTATTTGCTGTGGTGTTAAATGAATTGTTTCCGAATGGGCACTGCGAAAATAACAACCTGAGTGCAATGTCACAATTCAAGTTTTGTACCACTCCCATGTAACTACACGTCTAATATTTACCCATGAAATCGTGATATGGTTTATACATTTCTAAATCTCAATTCAAACGTCGTAAATAACTGTTCAGTATTGCTAGCATATTTTGTTGACTTAACCAAAATCTTCACAGATCAGCATTCTGATTTACTGGGAGTCTGACCACTTATCGACCTGTGTCATTGCGCACAGTTGTACATCCAGAAAAGTCCTTACAAAGCATCCCCTTGTTTATTAATGGAATCGTTTGTATTTCTTCTTACCACACATTTCTTTATACAATTCGAGAATGACAGCAATTATGTGATTTGACCTTGCAGTGGTATGTACTTAGGTCTCGATTGTGCACCAAAAATAACCCAACCTAATTAAATACATTGATCAATAGTATTATTATATTGGAATAGCGCAAGTGTTATATTGGAAAATTATTTATTGTGGGGTTCTTTGATTGAAAATTTTTCTATTTACGAAAAATTGAAGTGATTAAATAGGACAGATTAAGCCGCACTTAACTTGATTTCAGGATATTACTTAATTTGATACAATAGTTGTACTTCACGGTTTCTATTTAATATGTTCAATATATTTTATTCTTCAAAAATATATTCCTACTACGCCTCTTAGTTTCTATAGTATTTACTTTTGCTTCGAAGCCCTTAAGTACAGCTGTTAGTCCCTTGCTACTTTCCAATTTATAGATGTAGAATTGTTTTGATTGTGTCTCTAATTTAGCTATAATTTTTCGATTCTGATCTCATTTGAAACCTATATTTTGGTTTCATTTATCATGCCTTTGCTAATAGGTAAACATTTTTCTTACCTATTACATTTGTAAATGTATTTACCAAGGTACTTTTTTTCTCTTATGTTTACGATGGTTTAACAGTTTTTCGTCAGATATTTCTGCGTATTCGCTTTTATCTCTCAAAGCATCAAATCTGTTACAGTAGCCATTGTTGTCTATTTTTCGAATTTTTCATGATTGTCGCTGCTTGTATGTGGACTCAAGTCGCGCTTAATTATTGACGCAATAAATAAACGTTATGTTTTTATTTTGATAATAATAATTTCTTAAAGGCGTTTGGACTTTAATATTGATGTTCTTGTGTGGTTTGTTTTTGATTTTTAGGCTACTATTGATGCTAATTTTGTTGTTGCTGCTACAGTTGCTGTGATTGCTGTTCTTAACTTAATTGTTGCTGGTCTCCACGTTTTAGTGGGATGCAATCATCAGGCATTTATATAATTTGAAAACTCAATATATGAAAATATATATGAAATTTCGCACGATAACAAATAGTTATTAATATAAATTTCACAAAAATAAAAATAAAATTTGAATTTATACAAAATTCAGTTTGCCACGTCAGTTTTCCTAATTCTGAAAAACAAATATGGTATTTGACAGATTGCAATAGTGATGCCAACATGTTAACAAGAGACTTGTTGTTTTTACTTAACTTTAAACCTGCCGAATACACATTTTATGACATAACATTCTGTGGTGATTCCAAGCTTCTCTTCTGATAAATCCATACAATCCTAGTATCTCCTATTGCAGTAGGTATTAATAAGTGATTTGGATTGTGTTAACTCCGGCAGATCATTCCAGTAAACATTTTTGTTCTAGTTCTCCTTTATTTTTGTGACAGAAAAGAGGGTATTGTTCAAATCCATAGAAGGGTTCCGGCCCCCCTATCAGTGTAGGTGCTTCTTTCCTGGCTAGTATACAAATCTACGTTTTGGTTTCTGCGTACGCCAGTATGTCTCAGTACCCAGAGAATCGGACACCTGATTTGATTAGCCGAGCTTATTTAGCTTTCCAAGGCATTCTTGTGCCAGTATTGAAGTCACTTGACGCGAGTTAAGTGCTTTGATAACCGTTTTTTTGTCTGTTAGTATTCCGATATTTTTTTCTTAGTATTTCCTGTCAATATTCAAAAGCACACATTTAAATATTGCGTAAATTTTAACTTGAAAGACACTAGTACTTTCTCCCAACGGTTCTCAATGCTTCTTGCCTGGTACGACTATGCCCGCTCAGACACCTTGCTCTGTAAGCAAACCGTGAGTGAACCATGCGATTGTGCTTTCCATTAGCTGATAGGTTTGTTTGATGCTTTCCCAGAATTTTGCATTTATCGTGACCCATGGCATTCAAAACTCCGGACACTATTTAGAAGATATTTGAACCTCTTGCGATTAAGTCAGTTGTCCGTCAGGTTTCGTCAGGTTTCATCAGTTTTAGAACCGCGCTTTTGACTTGGGACCTCACATATATTGGCAAGGGTGTAAGTTCTAGAACGACTTCCATGGATGCCGTTGGGCATGTCCTCATGGCACCTTTTATATATATGCACACCAGTCTTTGTAGCTTGTATAGTACGTTAATCAGTTGTCTGGTTTCATTTTACTAGATAAGTGCCCCATATAAAATGAGAGGTCTGTTTATCGCCGACTAGACCCAGCGCAATATTTTTGGTGCATAACCCCAAAGTTTCACTGTTAGGGATCTACATATCATTAGAGCCCAAGTGGTTTTCTATGTAACCTCCTTAATGTGATGTTTCCAATTGAATTTTTAGTGAAGATGTATGGCCAAGAACTTAACTGTTTTCTTTTTCATGGAGCCTGATTGGTTTCAGATGTTTGAGTTTGTATTTTCTTGTAAATGTTACAACTTTAGTTTTAGCTGGGTTTACACTCAGTCGCATAGAGTATGCTCAGATATTTTTCTACTTTTTTTGACTATATCATTTGCATAGCCTTACACTGCTACTCCGTTGTTTCGTAAGTCGTGAAGTAGTTCATCCACTAGTATGCTCCACATATGTGTTGAGAGTACTCCACTGTGTGTTCGTTTGGTGTTCATCCTTATAAGCCACGTACAAGTGCGTATTTTTACCTTCCCAGTGTTGCTCATTCACCATGCCAGTATAGAGTTAAATTCTCTGTTTATGAGTGATCTCTTTATACCTTCATGATAGTCTTGTCAAAGGGGCCTTCTATATATAGAAAGACCAATATGCAATATGCTCTCATAGTATGTTTACCAGCTCAAACAGCGCGGTTTCAGTAGATTTTCCCGCTCTATAGGCATGCTGACAGGTATGTAATGGAGTAATCTGATGAAATTATCTGCAACTTTTTCTATTGTTTTTAGCATGAAGGATGTGGGGCAAATGGGTCTGAAGGATTTTGAGTGAAGTAGATCGTTCTTACCTGATGTTAGTACGAAAACCATCTTTGCGTGAACGCAAACACAATGCTAGCTCTGGTTATCTTCGTTAAATTAGCGCCAAAAGTGAACGATCTGTGCCAGGTAATTTGAATGGTTTAAAAGTGTTAACCGCCTATTTAACCCTGGCTGTTGTACACATTTCATTGGCAATAGCACAGGTTCCTTTCTCTGCTATATGGTAATCTTCCTGATTGATATCATAAGTTTCATGTTGCTCTACGAACAAAAAGGATCCTGGAAAATGGGTATGGAGAAGTAATCGGATCGTTCCTATTTCATAGTGTCATATTTTTTCAGACTTGTTGAGGAGAGTGTTTTCTCTTTGGCCATCATTTTGAAGAGTCTTGCTGTCTTTGTAGTGTTTTAATTGATATCAAAGAACTTCCTGAAGCTTTCACTTTTAGCTAAATATACTTTGATGAATAATTTGCTTGTTGTGCTAAGAAGCACATTCAAATAATACTATTTGTTAAGATCTTTTCGAAATAAAAAATAAATACACATTGATAATTATAAAAAATTGATAGAAATAATAACATCAATGGTAACAATTAAAAAAATAAACAAAACATTTTTAATAGAAAACCTTACACTTAATATCCCGAAGTCTTTGTAATTACATACAATCTAATAAGCTTTATTATTTAATAGATTTAACTGAATACAGCAAAGGAACCCTGCAGCGTAGTCAGATTGAACAAAATATGAAATGGAATAAAGTACAAGCACTTATTAAAGAACCTCGGAAAATTACTTTGTTCCCAGAAGAAATATCTGATAAAAATTCAGATTTAAAAAATTCAAACACATGGAGTTATCCTCTCCGAACCGTTGACAAAAGCAATAATTATTTGAATAAGACATGGTGTGGGAGCAGTAGCAGTGATATTGGAAAACATAAATTATTCGCCTTGAATAATCTTCAAGAATAAGTACAAAATATCGAAACTTAAGCACTTGACTGTTGAGATTATTTATTTATAAAGTTTTATGTATGTTAAATTATTTTGTTAATCTAAGTGTGATGTTGATTTTAATAATAATAAAAAAATAAAAACAATTAACTTAATTTTTTTGTTCCCTTCAACAAGGTTATGCAATTCACCATAAATCGTTTAAAGCTAGAACAACGCTTCCAAATTGTGGAAATTTACTTTGAAAAAAATAAATCTTCGCGAATTTCATAGAGCAATATGAGATTAGAGACAATAAGCAAAATTGCCATATGACATATGAAGCGATATAATAACCATTATCTTATCTCATAAAGAATGACCAATACATCCACTAACATTGACTGTTTGGTACGGTTTACACGCTGTCAGCATCATCGGTCCTTATTTCTTCCGAAATGAAGAGGGATCTAAGAGCTGCCGATCCGGTGAATTGCGAGTGCTATCGAGCCATCTTGACTGAATTTTTGTTTCCAAAAATGTATCAGGTAAACATCGATGAGACGATGTTTTTGGTTTATTGTTAAAAAAAACTTTTGTACCCCTATATTTCTGACTTAAATATAAACTATTTTAATTACTTGAAAAATATACAAAACAATAAATCAATTGTCTTTAAAACTTAGTAAACTTCAAGTATTTTCCGTTGAGAAATGGCTATTACAAAGTTATTGTTATATGCAAATTATCAAAACTCCATGGAATTACGAAAATAATATAAGAATTTTTTCCCCAAATATAGTTTTTTTATTCTATTAGATAAGCTTTCCTAAAAACGTCCGTCAAATCGTAGATGATGAAGTTTAGTTCTGTCAAAGGCCATTTATTTTGTAAAAAAATGACTTACATGCAGCATTTATTGACTTCAGGAAGCTTGTTTGGAAATTACTAGTCATACCAAAAATATTCTTAATCTTAGCAATAAACCTGTTATGTTCCATGCTATGTTCGCCAAAATAAGTGCAGAACCGGACGCTCCAATGCCATTATGTGACGCGCCGGCTGGTTCGACGGGGTAAAGTTACTAAAATTCAAAGATATCCGACCCTGAACTGGTTAAGGGAGGCAATAAAAATATTTCAAGGCCTATAGGTAGGTTCATCCTGTCTTTGCGCAAAGTGAAAATACTTGTACCTCAACTGATGAGGTCATAGGATGCTCTTCGTCTGCTACAACGACAGAACCCTGATGTGCCAACAAGTGATTGGAAGGTGTTAAAGGTCCTAAAGCTGGTCAAAAAGGTGAGGGACAAAATTACATCCTATTAATCAACAAAATGTCTGAGAATGTTCTGTATTTAAGATACGGGGAGATGTTGTGGGGAGTATGGAGCGTGTACCTTCGCCTCAAAAAACGACATCCGACCGATAGGAACTCGAAAAAACACGCTCGCTGCAAAGGAAATCGAAGAGGATCTTAGTCTCGACGAAATCCTAAATTCGTCTCTAAATCTTCGCGAAGGGGAGAAACCGGTAGGGATGAGTGTAGAAAGCAGCCCCGGGTAGGAATGGGAAACTCATGCTAAGGATTCTACAGGTAAACCTCCATTGCAGTAAAATTGCCTCTACTGAGCTCCTTCACAGTCTAGAAGAGGGCGGCTACGATGTGGCTTTAATTCAGGAACCATGGCTAGCCTCGGGCAATCTCTAGATTGAATTCTCAAAACTACAATACGTTTATTCTACATCGGGTAATTAATTCTTATATTATAAACTTTCTCTCTACAGATGATCTAACGGTGGTGGCAGTGGATGGTAACTATTCTTTGCGTTCTATTACATGCCACACAAGGAACAAACGCCATCTGAAGAACTCCAAAGAACTTCATCATTCACTTTGGAGAAGTGCCGACATTAACGGTAGAGGTGAGTCTATTTTCAATTACATATGTTAATACAGAGTAGGCTTAGTTCTGCAAATAGAGGAGAGGAACCAACCTATGTTAGACCAATCTAGAACGTTCTAGATACAAAGATAATGTAAAAATTATTTCCAGATTAAAAATATATTAGTTTCCAAAAAAAATTCCAGTACGTGAAAAGGGAGAAAGTTCTAAGAAATCCCAAACTAATGTATTGGGATCTTTATCGAAAAATTCTGAAACAGAGACAGGGAAAATTTACGAGAATGTTATTTTGCGTAGATCTAGAAGTAAGGCTTGATCAACTTACCAGAGTCCTAACTAAAGCTTACCACATGCGAACAAAACGCAAATACGCTACATTCGCGAAATCTTCAAGCTGGCTCAGCTGGCAGAATGTGAAGTTGTGTGGGAGGAGTATAGGGATATCCATAAGCAATATAAGAAAGCTATTCGTAACGCGAAAAGAAACTCCTGGAAGAAAATCTTCGTAGGTATAGAAAAAACGGTGGAGGTAGCTAGGCTTAGAAAGCTTATCCAAACACCTAACTATGCCTAACTTTGTCAGGAAAAAACACGGCGAATGGACTAAAACCAACTCCGAATCGCTTGTAGATCTTACTAACACTCACTTTCCTAGCTGTGCAATTGTGAGCAATATCGAACCAGAATACAGCAGGCTTTACAGAAAGAAATATTGACCCATATGCAAGTTTGGAATGGGCAATCAAGTCATTCGCCTCATATAAATCTCCTAGACTCGATAGTATTTATCCTCGGATCTAATAACACCATGGCTAATAAATGCAGATAAGGCAGCAAAAATCGTAATGATTACGAAAAACGAACGAACGAACGTGAGCAAAAGAGTTAAATCAATCAAAACAAAAACGAAAAACAAAATAGAAAGGAGAGAAGAAAAGAGTTTTTTGGTGAAGACACACGTGTTTTGGAGAAGTCGATAAGTTTTTGAGAAGTTATTATTAAAGAAGTTTTTTTTTGATTAAATAAAAGTTAAATAAATTAAATTAAATTAAATTAAGTTAAAATTAAATAAAAGAGTGTCGAAAATATTGCATTTTTATTTTCAAAGAAAATAACTACATAAATATCTATAGAGGATGCTTGAGGTATAATTACGTACCTATGAGCTGAAGAGTGGTAAGGGTTATTTTTATTCCGAAAGCAGGAAAAAATGGCCACCTCTTCTCTAAAGATTATAAGCCAATTAGTCTTACTTCTTTCATTCTCAAAAATAATTATTCTCAAATACTGGCAGCACATGTAGGAGTCTTGTCAAAGGCACAACACGCTTACACAAAGGGCAGATCCACAGAGACTGCTCTCCATACACTTGTATTTAATATTGAAAATCTCATAGAATACAAATAATACGCTCTAGGAGTTTTTTTGAATAATGCAGGTGCTTTCAGTAATGTATTTACGCAAGCTATTTTAAATATCCTAGAAGATGTTGGTATAGGTTTTGCCACATATCAATGGATTGCAAGCTTTTTACGCTGCTGACAGAGAAGGATAGGATGAAAACGCATGGACGCCACCTAACTTAAACGCCACTCTTCTGCTACTGAAATCTCAAACGAAATACCTTGAAGTGATTGTGGATAGCAAACTGAAGTGAAAGCCAAATGTAGAGGAACGAATAAAGAAGGCTTTCTACGTATGTAAAAGTATGCTAAGAGTACATGGGGCTTCTCACCCGCTCTTATGTATTGGTAATACACGGCTTTAGTCAGACCTATATTACTTTACGGTATATTGGTTTGGTGGACAGTTATCACAAAGTATATAAAACCTCTGAAAAAGGTCTAAAGACACTCGGCGATTTGCATCACCAGTGCAATAAGGACAACTCCGACGGCAGCCATTGAAGCAATACTAAACTCACCCCCGGTTTATATCTTTGCTGAAAATATGGCGGCAAAAATGGCCGAACGGCTACGCATTACTGGACAACTTACCCGAAGATCTTTCAGGCATAGCGTTGTAAATCAGAACGCCACTCTTAATTCGGATTATATGATCCCGATCATATATCCTGG